AGAGCAAGTGCTCACAAAAAAAAACCCCAAAAAAAAAAAAAAAAAAAAAAAAAAAAAAAAAAAAAAACTTCATTCATTTGAAAACAGTTTCTCTAGATTTAGTGTATCTCCTGACATGCTCAACATCTGGTGCTTTTATCAGGATAGCTCTTCCCCAGCTTTTTCCATTCATAGCTAAAATTTTAATTAAACTTTCCAAGTTTTTGTTTTGTTTTGGTCTACACATTTTCCCACTACAAGATCATAAAGACATTCTCTTACATATTCTGCTAAATGTTTTTAAGTTTTGCCTTTCACAGTCAAGGCTTTGAGTCATCTAGAGTTTGTATATAGGGATTTTTAATGATTTTACTATGAATAACCAATTATCCTAGACTAGCAGTCTGTACAACTGTATTACATACCAGCTGTGCAAGTGTTTTGCATTAAATTTTTTTTTTTGGAGAGGTTTTTGCTATAGGGCGCGTACGCTCACCAGACAGACAGAGAGAGACATAGAGACAGAAAGCGAGAAATCACCCCCCAGAGGGGATGGTCACACCGCAATCCCTTCTCCTCCATTCTCCTCTCGGGATCTTGGGCACACACACACACACCCGGCATGAGTTTTAAGCCACTGGGTCCGGGACGTGAACCGCGGTCGACTACGTGGGAGTCCAGTGACATAGCCATTACACTAACTGCTGGTTCCCTGTTTTGCATTAAATTTAAATATAAGATAGATGATTCATAAATGCTATCTTTTATTTCCCATCTTTAGTTTATTTTTTATTTAGTTATTCTAAATGATTCTTCATAACCCCAAGGTAAGTATAGTAATCTTCTTATTCTTCAGAACAGTTGTCCTTCTAAAATATTTATTTTAGCAAATAGTTACAAAATTAAGTTTGAGTCATTTACAGTCATTAACAAAAAAATTTTGTTTTTTCTGCTTGTATATTTTAGATACGCATCTCTTACTTTTAAAAAAAATAGTGATGCAAAGATGGCTGTGAAGGAAATGAATGGGATAGAAATAAATGGAAAATCAGTAAATGTGCGGCTTGTTAAAACTCCAGGAGACTATACATCACCACTTTTCTCCAAAACTGGGAATAAAGTTAGTTTGAATAATTTGGAGAAAAGCACCAACAAAGAATTCAACTCAAACTCCTCTATTTCTATATTGCCCAGAACCAGGCCAAGACAGCTGGAATCTGAGCAAGATGGTGAGGTTTTTCCTTTCGAACAGGTTAGTTTTCTTGATAGATCCCTAAATGGTCTTTTAGTAAATAACTCGTATTGGTAACCTAGAAGTGGGAATTAGAGCATTACTCTAAATTGTTCTTAACCTTGGGTTCACCCTAATCTGCTTTTTACAGCTCTAAATGCTTCTGAGGGGAAAGTATGTCTTTGCAGACCTAGCTAAAGGAAAACTCCTTTTTAACTATAGGTTGTCTCTCAATTCTTTGCAGTCTTTTTTTTTGTCTCTTTATTCTCAGACAGTACAACTTAACTCTACATGTGACTAATTACACTTTCATTATCATTATTTTTTCACATCTAACCTTGCCTCATAATTGCTAAAACCATAAAATGCAGTCATTTTTGTTTTCATATTCCCTTGTCTTCGCCACATGAAAGTTATAAACACTGTAGAAAGTGATGATGTTTTTCTTGTTCACTTTTATCTCCTCCCTGCTCGCCAAAGTGCCCAGTATGCCACAGGCACTATGCACATCTTTTGTTAAATTTACACACAGTAAAATTTACTCTTTGGTATTCATGACTTTAGACAAATACATATGGGCAAGTAATCTTTGCATGTGGAATTCTTCTAGCATACTTTGTTGAAAAGACTATCATTTCAGGACCAGCAGTTAGCGTAATGGCTGTGTCGCTGAACTCCCATGTAGTTGACTGACCACGGTTTGAGTCCCAGACCCAGTGGCTTAAACTCACGCTGGGCACGTGTGCCTGCATGCCCAAGATCCCAAGAGGAGAATGGAGGAGAAGGGATTGTGGCATGGCCATCCCCCCTGGGGAGTGATTTCTCGCTTTCTGTCTCTCTGTCTCTCTCTGGCGAGCACACGCACCCTATACCAAAAAAAATTAAAAATAAAAACAATTTTTTTAAAAGACTATCATTTCTGTTGACTTACATTTGCAACTTGGTCAAAATCAAATGACCATGTTTGTGTGGGTCCGTTTTTAAACCATAACTGTTCCTTTGATTTGTTTGACAGTCTTATAACCCATACTACAGTGTAGTGAAATCAGGTAGGATGAGCTCTCTAGCTTTAATCTAGTTCAAAATTATTTGGGCTATTCTAGTCTCTGACTTTCTGTATTAGTCTTATAATTCAACTTCTCTATCCTACTTGGATTTTTATTGGGATTACTTTGAATCTGTAGAAGGGCACCAATTTTTTTAAATTAGTGGATGAAGAGTAAACATTTGTTAATAAATTAATCTAAATGTTCTCCTTTATAAGAGGGATGTCTTCTAAGTATGTCCTTTTTCAGTCCTTTCCAAATTCCTGGAGCTGTCTCTTTTTTTGTTGTTTGTTTTTTGTTTTTTGGTTTTTTTTGTACAATGACCAACTCCATTGACACTCAGATCTCTCTGCACTTGCACTCATACATAGCCTTTCCCAATCCCACCAGGATTTTCACTCAACTTGGCATTTCTTTGAAGTTATCCTGTGTTTTTATTGCCAAACTTCTCAGTAAAGTAATTAATAGTCAGTGTGTCTCAATTTCTTTGGTTGTCTCTCTCCTTTGTCCTAATAATCTGACTTAAATTCTGAAATTTTTAAAAATTGTACTTAAAATGGTTTGTCCATTGTCACTACTGGCCTTTTCATCAGTCATTTCCCCATCTGCCTTCTTGACCACTTGGCCTTTTTGACCACTGGTCAAAAAGGGATCTTTCTTGAAACTCTTTTACCTCAGTGACACTTTTTGTGTAGGATGGATTTCTTTGGTATATGGCCTCAAGCCACAGTAGAAGGAAGGGACTAAAGTATAGCTAAGCTGTGTGGCACCTGAGCTGGGGCTTTGGGAACCACAGCTCCTCCCTCTTCTCTCAGGCAGTGTGTACATACAGTTTCTGGCCTTCGCATGCCAGCATGCTCATTCTGCTGCTCTCTGCACAGTGCTTTTCTCTGCTTACGACTGCCTTCATCCTCCATTTGGCTTTGTTTTCCTTAATTCTAACTCTACAATATTTTCAGTTCAGTGTCGCATTGGCCCTTTGACTAATTGATTTGCTCCATGTTCTAATTACACATTCTTTAGATGGGAAATCTAATTGGTCCTGTCTGTGATTTGGTGTTTATCAGTTCAGAAAACAACATCGTGGTCTGGTCAGCTCTGGCAATGAGCCATAGCGTTGGCAGAGGGAAGTCTAAATAGTACCCAGTGGGCTCTGGGTAGGAGTATGTTGTCTTAGACTATGTGAATAGGGAAGTTCCTATTACTATCTTTTTTTAGAGAGAGAGAGAATTTTTTTGCTATAGGGCACATGTATTCACCAGAGAGACAGGGTAATGGACACACCACAATGCCTTCTCCATTCTCCTCTTAGGATTTTGGGCATGCATGCACAAGTGTCCGGCATGAGTTTAAGCTGCCAGGTCTGGAACTCGAACCACGGTTGATTACATGGGAGTCCAGCAATGTAACCATGATGCCATGTGCTGGTCCCTCATCCCTTTTTTCATCTTAGATACTCAGCATTTATTCATTCTATTCATTCATTTAGAAGATTTTTACTGTCTACAATGAAAAGCAGAATAATGGTGATTAAGAACAACTAATATTTATAAGCTGGTTCTGCCACCTTCTCATCATGTGACTCTGGGCAAGTTACCTAATCCCACTGTAGCTGAGCTTCCTCATGTTAAAATGAGGATAATAGTTCACACCTCACAAATGATGACAAGTTTAAATGAGCTTAATACAGAAAATGTCTTTGAGTGGGGCTGGCAGGTGGCTTGGTGGTTAAGGGTTCTGGACTCCCACATGGCCAAATGTGGTTCAAGTCCCAGACCTGCTGGCTTGCTTGCCTTCTCTTTCTCACTCTCTCACTCTATCCCTCTCTGGTCAAATTGAACTAAATAAATGAATAAATCAACAAAGTTAAATAAAATAATTTTTTAAAAAGTGAAAGAAAAATGTCTTTGAGAAATGCCTATCATGAAGAATGTACCCAATAAATATATTAGCTACTGTCATTGTAATTACTTACCAGTAATTGGGCTTTTTCTTGGAGAGTTCGTGCTTTCTGTGGTTTAAACTGTCACTTAAACCATTATACCCCCAACTTTTTGATTTACTGAACAGTTACATCCTGCCTGTGAATAATGTTCTAGGCACTAGGTAAGTAGTTTTGCTCATTAGCAAAACAAGAGAAAATAAAGTTCTTTAAAGCTGAAATCTAATCGGGGAGAAAGGACAATAGTAAATAAGCCAAATATGTAATGTGATATGACAGGCCTAATATTTTGTGTATCTTGTCCTTTTTATCTGGGCTTTAAGTTCTGAGCCATTCATTTGTTCAACTTCTATGGGATTTACAATAGTTTCCTACAATTTATAGTCTACTTGCATGGTTATCTTCATCACTACTGTAAGAAAACAAGTTTGGCCTATTTTTTTAATACATGGCCCTGAATACAGCTTAGTAAATTTACTTGGTATAAGTTATCTCAAAGTAAACTTCTCCAGGAGTTTTGATTTTACAGTCTGTAATTTCAAAGTTTAATTGAATAAGCAGGATTATCTCTGTGTAATAGTCCTGATTTACTAATTTTTAATAAAACCTTGCATATTTAGGGTGTTAAGAAGAACTGTAAACAGATTGGATCTGCTAGATTACTGCTTGATACACCTGTCCAGGTTATACCTCCAAATACACTGAACCTGCGTAGCTTTACCAAGATCATGAAGAGATTGGCTGAACTGCATCCAGAAGTCAGCAGGTAGCACCGCCATTTTATTTTAACTGGTTTCAAGCTTTTTGTAAAGAATATAGTTCAATTCAGTAACTTAGCCATATTCAGAATGTATCTCTTTGGAAAGGACAAATATTCACATGTGTTTTCCTTCTGCATAGGGACCATATTATAGATGCTCTTCAGAAAGTGAGAGTAAATCGTAAAGGTGTTCTCAATGGCTTATCTATTAATACTATCGTGGAAATGACTTCATCTGCTCTGAAAAACTCTGCTTCCAATCAAGAGTAAAAACAGCAGTAAAGAGGTAAAGCAATCTATTATTTTATATTTAAATAGTACTAAAAATGTTAAGATATTTCATTTTTTCACAGAAAATTTAAATTAAAAATAATAACACAGTCTCCAACCTATGATGATTCAACCATTTGTACTTATGATGGTATAAAAACAATATACATTTAGCAGAAACTACTTCAAATTTTTATCTTTTTTTTTGCTTTGTAATCAGTATATTAAGGAGACATTCATACATTTCAAGAATTGCTTAAATTCTGTTAATCCAGATTTAAGCATGTGAACATATGACTTTATAACATACAATTAAAGCTATTCATCATAATCTGCTATCCTACCAACATCAAATTACAGTTACTTTGGAGCATAAGTTAAATGGCTTAAAGTAAATCTGTAATACTTAATAACACCTTTCTATACCACACATGCAAATTACTTCTCCATGTAAAGGTTGTTTCACTTTGTAAGTTACCCAGCTCCAGAAGTCACTACTCGGGGGCTTTTCATGGTCCAAAGAGAAGGGGAGTGGGGGAGTTGGGAGTAACCAGGACTGGTCACATATACATACATATATATAATATATTTTTATATATGTATACTAAAAAAAAAAAAA